ATTCAAGGTCATATTTTTGCTCTCATGGACTTGTTTTCTTCAGCTTCTGTGTGAATTTGCATATGAGCAATTGATGGTCTGTTCTACAATCTGCCCCTGGCCTTGTTTTGACTGATGATATGGAGGTTTTCCACTATCTCTTTCCACAGATGTAGTCAATTTGATTTCTATGTATTCCATCTGCGAGGTCCATGTGTATAGTCATCTCTTATGCTATCTAAAGAAGGTATTTGAAATGAACTCATTGGTTTTGCAGAATTCTATCATGCGATCTCCAGCATCATTTCTATCACCATGGCCATATTTTCCAACTACTAATCCTTTCTCTTTGTTCCCAACCTTTCCATTCCAATCACCAGTAATGATCAATACATCTTGACTGCATGTTTGATCAGTTTCAGATTGAAGAAGTTGGTAGAATTCTTCTATTTCATCCCCATTGGCTTTCGTGGTTGGTGCGTAAATTTGAATAATAGTGGTATTAATCACCCTCTATTTTGTGATCTGATGTGCTAAGACAATCAGTTGAAAAGGGAGTTTCCTTTGTGGTTCCTTGGTTTGCATCCACATTACTCTAATCTGCGCCACCATTTTTACATGGCCGTCTTTCCCCTGCTTCTGTATATATAATGGCACCAGTCATTAAATTAGGGCCCATCTAAAGTAATGAATCCTGCCAAGACCCTATTTCCAAATGAGATCACATTCTGAGTTTCCAGATGGACATGCATTTGAACAGGACGCTAATCAACTCTGCACACTATTTACTTTCATTTTTAGCTATAACGACAGGCAGCAATCAGTGAAGTTGTGTTTGTTTATTTTTAACTGCTTTGGCCCTGTTGCTCATTCTGCCCCTGTGCTCTTATCCTGTTTCCTTTCTTGATCTTCTTCCTTCTTTCCTTCTGTGTAGGAGTCTTTTTCTAAAAGGGCGTTTTCCAATAATGTTTAAAATGGACTGCTTGTCATAACAAACTGCAAAGAGTAGCTCAACTCTTGGCTTATTTGTTCTGTTTGTCGGATCAGCACAGGCAGGCTGGGGTGACTGCTGGGAGCCTCAGGGAGAGGGGAGGGCTTTGTCTATTGAACTTCCTGGCTGCCCTTCCTTAGTCTATAGGATATAGAAGAAAGTTGGCTGGGCCCTGCAAAGGCTTTCGTTGTTACTTTTGTAACTTTGATGGAAAAAAGATTTTTACAGCGATGACAGGAAAGACAATGTGCCTTGACTGTGGGTATAATTAAGAACTGTCTGAATCATAAGGAAAATTGTAGCAGCAACTTCAAGAAGTCGCTAGTTGGAAAAGGCAGTGGATGCTCAGCCTGGGAGGCCTGCTCTAGTCTGGCCCGCTCTCCTCAGGGACAGCATGACCACATGGGCCTGTCATTTTACAGTGGGATGTGACTTGGCGGCTGAAAGCAGGAAGAAACAACTGCTGTGTAACTAGAGACACAGGCAACCACTTCACCCCATCAGCACAGCTGTTCTGGGCACAGGGCTGGGGCCAACTCTTTTTCACTGGAAACATTTTCTAAAGATCTGCAGAGTCAGGATAAAGTCATTGTGGTGTTGGTTATCATTTCAGGTCAAGCATGCCTTGTTGGCAGGTGAGCACTGGAGACAGGAGTCACCCGTGTCCTTTCCAGAACAGTCATTAAACACCTTACAAATGAAGAGATTTGAAGTTAATGATTGCTTGGCATGTTTTTCTCACAGTTCAGGAAGCTAGATATTTGAATTTAGGGGAAGGCTTTTTCTCTGTTGACTCTGAAGGAAGGTTCTTGTCTCCTTCAGTGTCTGTTGCCCTGGCATTGGATCCCTTGAAGGTCTACCCCATTTGTGTTTCTTTGTGTCTGTGTCTAGTAGTCCTGGTGTGGTGCCGTAAGATAAGCACTAGACTGCTAAATACAGATCAGCAGTTCTAAACAACCAGCTGCTCCACAGGAGAAAGATGAGGCTTTCTGCTGCCACAAAGATTTATAGGCTCAGAAACCCAGTATAGGGTCACTATGAGTCACTTAGCAACAACTTGAGTTGGAATCAAGGATGGCAATGTTTTTGTTTTTGTCTCTGTATCTATGCTGTTCTTTGTCATTCAGAAGCGATTAGGGTTTGGACACACCCTACTCTGATAGGCTCTCATTACCATAACAAAGAAACCTAATGAACAAACAGGATCACATCCACAGTTACTTGGGGTTAGTTAGGTCCTAACACAAATCTTGGATGGACGCAAATGCAACCCATAAAAATCATCCTTGTCAACAAGTATTAGTCAAACACACAGAGGGTTAAACTGCCCCCTCTCTGATAATCAGAAGGATGGGTGAGGCACAAGTCAGGAAAACCAAGACAAGATGAATTGAGAGAAATGGTTTGGGTTTTCATCTCTACATGAGATTATGATCATGTGCTTTGTAAATGGCAAAAGCACTCTGAAAATCTAGTCCCCAGACCATTCTTTAAGCCCCATGAATTGTCAGCATAACTGACAAGCAGGAATTCAATTTATATAAATGGGGTGGGTTGAATTTTCACCTTCTATGCTGGAGATCTGGGTTCCATTCCCTGCTAGTACACATCATGTGCAGATACCTCCCATCTACCTGCCAGGTGGTTTGTGTGTTGCTGTGATACTGAAAAGCTCCAGCAGTTTCACTCTGTTGTGTATATGATCTGGCCAACTTGACTGGAGCTTTTTTTGTTTTTGTTTTAATTTCCTTGGGAATTATTAACATATTTCCTTGGGAAATTATTAACAAATATTTTGGAAAGATACTAGAAAGAAAACAGACAGAATGGCTGGTTATTTGTTTTTGGATTTTTTTTTTTTTTCAGAATCCAGCTAGTGTTTGATACTGCAAAGAGTCCCTGTGAGTCCTTATAGCTGGTGAAAGGAAAGGTGGTGAGTTCATAGAGAAATGAGTGAAACTTTGGTCCCCTCCCCAAGGTGCTACAACTGATTATGAATTGTTTCCTAAAGAGGGTCCCCAAATGTATGAGCCTCAAGTCCCACCAAGCCTGGGCCCATCCCCAGGAGAAAGTGATTACATAGCACTTCCAGCCTCTATTTCCTGGAAATGTTAGGTAAAAAGAGAAAAAGAAAGATGGGGATAAAAGAAAAGATGCAGCAGCCCGAGAACATTCCTGGTGGATGATACCAGAGAGTTCTGAGGCCAGAAGGTGGAGTGGACTGAGCCAGGACACCCACGTTCTACTGGTTCTGAGCCCTCACTTCCTTCCAGACTTAATGGGAACCAAAGGTGTGGCAGAAGCCAAATAGCCAATGAGGCCAGGGCTGGCCTTTCAGCGCAGGACCAGTGCAGTTGTACAGGGTCCCTTTGCTTGATTTAATGCTCTGCATCTTGAAATATTAGCGAAATTTCTGAACAAGGGTCCCTGCATTTCCATTTTGCACTAGGCTGTGAAAATTATCACCAGTCTTGATTACTGAGTTTTTGGTGTCTCCTCATATTTTCCACTTGTGCCACATCACTAGGACCCTTGCCTTGCTACACTCTCTCTGAAAAATGTACTCTGCAACTGCATGGTATTTTGCATATATTTTCACGGTGTTTGTAGAAACTAATGGAGCCATATTGAGAGTTTCATCCCCCCTGTTCATGACTGGCGTTTTGGTGTGGCGTTTGGGTTAATTCGCGACTGCCAAGCCGTTTGAACTACAAGGTCGGTGGTTCAAGCTCACCAGTCGTTCCTTGGAAATCATAAACAGGGTCTCTATGGGTCGGAACCAACTTGACGGCACTTAACAACTGTTCATGACTACATCCACGTAAGCCTGAAATAGTTTCTGGTTCTAGACCTTGGAGGCGGTGGGAGTGAGCTGGGCTGGCCTTCTCTGCTGTGTGTGGACTTAATACAGAGATTCGTCCTTGGTGGGCCACTCCAGAATAAGTTTGTGGTCAACCGATGTGTTTCTCAGGGTATACGTTGTCCCTTCCTTAAAACTCTTGGAATTAATGCCACCGGTGGGAATGATTGGTCTACCAACACACACATCTTATAGCCGAATAGCAAAGGAGCTCTGGTAGCATAGTGGTTACAAATCAGGCTGTGAGTTGCAAGGTCAGCAGTTCAAAAACTACCAGCTGTTCCATGGGAGAAAGATGAGGCTTTCTGCTCCCGTAAAGATTTACAGCCTCAGAGACCCCGCACAGTCAGCGGCTGCTGGAGGTATCGAAGGCGTGCCTGCAAAGGCAGTCGAAGTCCACAAGTTCGGGGGACAAGAAGAGCCACCCAGGTGGCAAGTCCCATCAGCAGTACTCTTAAGGGTAGAGCACAGCCCGCAGCCGCGGGTTAGGGGCGAAGTGAGGAGGGCATACCGGTACCCCATACTAGACCGATGGTGGAGCGGCCCCGCAGACAAAGGAGAAGCTGCCCAGACCCGGCATATCAGGTGCTGAGAGCCCGGACGCATGCAGGTCTGCGTGGTCCTCACCCCTACCCGGTAAACAGGCACAGGCGCCGGAGGTGGCCGCCTCGTACGGTACAGCCTGAGACTGCCCGCTCGACCGTGAAAGATGGTCTCCCCCAACCCAGAGCCCCGCTCCCCTAACCTCTTCAGGCTGCTGAGAACTGCACAGAAGGGGCGTGGTAAGCGCTCAGAGCCACGCCTATTGCTACATAGTCATGAGGCCAGGAATTCCCTACCTTCGGGGCGGGGCGGGGCGGGGCGGGCTGCTCCTTCTGCCTAGGCGCTTGTCAGATGGGGGCGTGGGCTGTCTCTGACTCGAGGTGAGGCGGAGCCTGGACCGGACCACCCCCGCGCTGGGCCCCGCCCCCAACCACCCCCTCGTAGGTCGTGGGGCGGAGCTCGTGGCCGGCAAGCTCCGCCCCCGCGCTGAATATTGATGCCGCGCGCGTCGGCGTCGCCCTCCTCCCATTGAGCGAGGCTGTGTCGCGTGGCCCAGCGTCGGCGTGACGGTTGGACGCGGGCGCGGCACTGCGGGTCCCGATTGCTGCAGCCGCTTGTCAGTGTGATGAAGATTGGCACCCAGGTAAGCTGTCACTCAACCGCTCCGCCGCCGCCGCCGCAGCTCTCCGCCGCCGTCGTCCCTATCAATCACACCGGCCGAGCCGCCGCAGCCGGCGCCTCACCGCCACCGCCCGGGTTGCGGCAGGCCGACCTCGCCGAAGAGAGCCCACACTTGACCCGCTGCCCCGAGCAGGGGGCGGGAGGGGGCGCACGGGCTGTGGGTGGGGGAGGGGAGCGAGCAGCTGCCGGGCGGGGGCACTGTCCACCCAGAGCCGACGTGGGGTCGTACCGAGTTTGTTTTTGAGTGTGGGTTTAGGCAGGAGGAAATTTCTGGAAGGCTCTGCCGCCGCGGCGCAGGGCCCGAGGCGAGGCGCGTGCTCTTAACCGTCCTTTTCGGAGCGCGGCGCGCGCCCCTGCGCGGGGCGGAGTGGGGGGGATGGGAGGGGAGCGGGCCGCGGGGGCGCGCTGGGGGCGGGGCGGATCATGAGTCCGCGCGGGCCAGGAGGGGCGGGGCTGGGGGCGGGGCGCGCTCAGGACCAGGGCGGAGCTTGAGGCCGCGGGACGCGCGGGTCTGGCGGGGGCAGGGGCGTGGGCGGAAGCGAGTCAGGAGCTCCTCATTTTCTGTTGTGGTTTTATGGGCGGGGGGTTGGGCGTGGTCGTCTGGGGTGCCGGGGACTGCTGCTCTGAGCTGCAGGGTCTTTGGGTGGCCGATCGCGGGGGCGCCTTTTCGGGTCAGTCTGGTGCCAGAACACACGCGGCCTCGGAGGCGGAAAGATGGCGGCTGCGGCGCGCAGGCCCAGCTTGAGGCAGGGAGTCGGTTCCCGGGTTCCACCGTTCTAAGCCAGTGTCTCCAGCTGCGCAGCACCTCTCTCCTGGAGCTTCTCTGAGCTCGCTGGGCCTAGGAAGGGCCGCGCTCCGCGCCCACACCGTGGCCCTGCGCATGGATTGAAGGGGCGGTCTGGGGGTGACCGAGCATGGGAAGGAGAGCACCTCGCGGAACCGGGGCCCCCGTGCTGTGTTCGAACGGCCTGCGCCTGAATTGCTTACAAGAGGACTGGGGTCCCATTTGTCCGGAATTAGTGTTTGTATTAAATGGCTACTTTGACTTTGGTATAGTCACACCGCTCACTGGACTTTCACCTTCCTTAGAGAAAATCAAGAGTCACTTAACTTCATCCTAGTGCCTCTGGAAATGCCCTACTTTGAGAGTGGTACTGAGACTTGTTAGGCTTTCCTTTGTCATGTTTGATTTTATGAAACAGCGTAAAACTTATCCATATAAGTGATGAGGGCAGAAGCCACAGAAACGTGTGTGCGCGCGCACCGGTACTTAGTGAACGTTTGGTACGTTTTGATGGTGTATTTGACAGTAGTCAAGAATATATTTGACTTGTATGAGAATATGATAAAAAGCTCTGGTTGCACAGTGGTTAAGTGCTAGGCAGCTAAAAGGCTGGAGGTTAGAAAGCAGCCTCTTCCAGAAGACAGAAGTGCTTCTGTTAACATTGCAACCTAGGACATTTTGGGCAACTTTTTTTTTTTTTTTTAAAGGTCATTGTAGTATAGTTTCTTATATTGGAAGAATTAGCTTTATGTAAAATTGACTGACTTTCCTTAGAACGTATGTGCTTTCCACTTTAGTGTGGAAAAAATAACGACCCAGCTTTAGTTACCCCTCGTTCCCTAATTTTTCCCTGGCATATTGAAAAAAAAGTCCATCACTAAATATTACAGCCGCTCCTCAGAAACCCTGTACATGGTCCCGTGAGTCCGAATCAACTTGAAGGCACATAATAACAACAGAGTGTTACAGGGAAGAACTGAGATGTAAACTGCAAAGACGGTTATTGGTAATACTCTTGAGTTTCAGATACATTGATTTGGAAGACCTCATACTTGCTTTTCATGTTTTTCTTAATTTACTCCTCTGGCTTCTGCGGTCTATTGTTAAGGGCCATCAAGCTGCTTCCAACTCATAGCAACCCTGTTTGTTTCCAAGGAGCAGCTGGTAGGTTTGAACTGTTGACCTTGTGGTTCGAAGTCCAGTGCTGTTCCTACAGCGCCATACCAGAGGTCCATGGATAGTTTCATTGACTCTCAATTGCATCTTTTTATATGCCACTAAAAATGGTGTGGCCCGGTGATCAGCACTGAACTGCGAACCATAAGGTCTGCAGTTAAAACCTATACAGGGTCGCTATGAGTCTGTTCGACTCAGGCATTTACAAAAGGATGGATGAAGCTTGGGTGGGGAAACAGGGCTGTTTCCAAGTTACATATTATGCAGATGGTTTAAGTGTGGAAAGGCTACACTCTAGTGATAACCCTTGGTGTCCAGGGTATTCTGCTCTTAGCAATTCTGTAGGATAGAACTACCCCATAGGATTTGTTGTGGTTGTGTGTTGTCAAATCTGGTCCAGAAACTATATGTTCTGCAGTGACAGATGGGTGTAAACATCTGACCTTGTGATTTGCAGTCCATTGCATATCCTGGTGTGGTGCTGTAAGATCAGCACTGGACTGAGAAGCACAAGGTCGGAAGTTCAAACCCACGAGCTGCTCCTTGGAAACCCTATACAGGGTGGTAGTGTGGTGGTTACGAATCGTGCTGCAAACCACAAGGTCAGCCATTAAAAACTACCAGCTATTCCATGGGAGAAAGATAAGGCTTTCTGCTCCCGTAAAGATTTACAGCCTCAGAAACCCTGAACAGGGTTGCTATGAGTCGGAATCGACTCCACGGCACGTAACCACCACCACCACCACCACCATGAGTTGGAACCCACTCGATGGCATTTTAACAACTCTTTGCAGAAGACTTGCTACATTTTTCTCCTGCATTGTTAACGATAGGAGGTACAAAAGTATTTTGTTGAGAATCCTGTCCTCTGGTTCACATTTATGTACATTTTTTTGGCAATATATTTTACAAGTCTTTAGAAAAGTACTGCATAGGCTTTGTAACTTTATATTTCCATTGTTTACTTTTGTTACAAATTTTAAATATATGAACGTTTCTAGAAGAAAAGACAACCAAGTATATGCCCCAGGGAGGTCTTAACATTTCTTGTGCCTTGTGATCTCTGGAATCATTAAAAAAAAACAAAAAACATTTAAAATAAAATAGGATTAAGAAGGGACTAATTACATTAAAAGGAGTCCTGGTATGGTGCTGTAGGTTAAAGCTCATTAGCGGCTCCTCAGAAACCCTATACATGGTTGCTATGGGTCGGAATTGACTCGACAGCACTTAACAACAACAGCAACAATTACATTAAAATAGTTACTGAAATATTTTTAAACATTGGTAATTAAGTATCCTAATGTGCTTGTTACTAACATTAAGCTAGTAGTAGGTCAAATAATTATTAATACTAAAGTAGTGATGACATGTTTTGAGTTTTTTTTTCCAACTTTTTTATTGTGAATTGAGTGAAGGTTTACAAAGCAGATCATTAGTTTTACATTCAGCAAGTTATATACTTTTCTTCATTACATGGTTGTTGTAATCCCCTCCATGTACCAACAGTTGACAGTGTTTACCTCTATTTAGCTGGTGCATTATTCCTCCCAGTGTCAACTGCTACCTTCATCTTTTCAACATTAACCGTTATTGCCGGCCCTGTCACCCATGTTAACGTATCCACTAGCCTGTGAATAATTTAATAAATTTCCCTCCCCCCAGTCATCAGATTGTTTTAAACTTTTTTATAACATTGGTCTCATACAGTATTTTTCTTGTTGTGACTGATTGATTTCACTTAGCATAATGTCCTCCAGGTTCAACGTTGTGAGGTGTTTACAGATGTCTCATTATTCTTCAACATTTTGTAGTATTCCTCTGTGGCTGTGTGTATGTACCAAAGTTTGTTTAACCATTCTCATGTTGATGGACATTTAGGGTGTCTCCATCTTTTTGATATGTCTCTTGTAGACAGCATGTTGAAGGATCTTGTTTTCATATCCATTCTGCTGTCTATGTCTCTTGACTGGTACATTTAATCCATTTACATTCACTGTAGTTATCAATAGGTATGAATTAATTAAAACTACAGTTTTCTGTGGTTTCAAATTTTTTTTATGACATTGCTTGATTTTTTGTTCCATGTAATTTCCTATGCTGAGAGTTATTTTGTTTGTGGGTTTTCTTTTCATTTTCATTTCTGTTGTATTAATGTTTACTAATCTTTCTGATTTTCCTCCTTTTTAATTTTGATGTACAGATGTATTGTTTCTTTGATTTTATTAATTTTAATTTCTTTGTAATTTATTAATTTTCCCCCCTGATTAAAACAGCTTGTTTTATCTTGAAATCCCCATGACTTCCTTGCCATTTGGAAGTTCTGGATCTACACTATTTCCTCTTTTTGCTTTGTAGTTAATTTTGTTATACATTGATGTGTCTGGTTCCTTATTTTCAGTCTTGTTAGGATTGTTTTACTTTATTTTATTTATTTAACTTTTTTTTCCTTTTTTTCTTAAATGTTTTATTGTGAATTATGTGATAATAGTTTACATGGGAGAACATTAATTTTACATTCATTCTATCGTATATCGTCTCATTGCCATGGTTACAATCCCTTCCATGCATCATCAACCAACCAAAGGATATACCCTGCAATCCTGCCCCCCATACCACCCAGGTCTTCAACACACAGTCGCTCTCCTTCTCTGGATCTAAGGATTGTTTATCTTTAAATAATCCTATAATTGGATTGACTTCTGGATGCTGTTGTCCTATATGGTAATCTCAGGTTGTTGTCTGCTGTTGTTGGTTCTCAGTCCATAGAACACCCTTTAGCATGGTTTCTAAAGTTGGTCTGGTTGTGGTGGTGATATGCCATGGGGTTGGTTGCTACTCATAGCGACCCTGCATGGGTGTCTGAGGCAGTAAATCTTTCCAGGAGCAGAAAGCCTCATCTTTCTCCTGTAGAGCCACTAGTTGTTTCGAACTCCTGACCTTGAGTTTAGCAGCCTGACTTGTAACCACTTCCTTTAATTTCTGTTTATCAGGAAATGTTC